ATAGATGTTATTAAGTTAAAAGATTAACTATATGTGAATTATATTAATTGCTACAGTTCATTCCATATCAATGAAAGAACAGTTTATATAAAATTTGAATGGTGGAGCAATTTCATGGACCTTTGAGATTATGGAGAACAAAGAAATTTCATATCAGTCTTAATAAGTACTTCACAATGCCCAAAAAAAATATTGATTTTCCTGTATTTTTTTCTTCATAATAAGAACTTAAGAAAATACACCCTAGAAAGGAAGATTCATTATTAGGAAGAATAATGAAAAAATACATACACCCAAACATTAAATCCACATTATATATATATATATATATATATATATATATATATATATATATATATATATATATATATATATATATATATATATATATATATATANTATATATATTATGCGAAAAACAGAGCATGCAGATTTATAACTTAACAAAGGAGAAGAAAAAACAACTTGGTAAGACAACAATATATTTTTAATACCTTCTTATCTTGTAGAACCGATTCAATCAAGAAAGTAGTGTTTGCGTTGTAACAATCTGGTACTTACCACAGACGTAGAACTCAAACTTTAACTTCCATTACATGTTCCTTAATGAAGTCATTATGAATAGCCATATTGTGTAGAAGCAGTATGTTACTACCAAAGTCCAAAACGCTGTTTAGCCATAAATGGTGTAATCACGGCGGCCAACCTCGAATGGTATCACGGCCAAATCAATCTTAATGGGTATCAAGTTTCTATGCCAACCTCTCTTGTGTTTGAGTATTTGCATATGGTTATCGAGTATAATGGAAGTGAATATCGTGAATTTCAATCATGAGTATAATGGAAGTGGATGTCGTAAGTTTCAATCATGGGACAATTTTTGGTTTTGCAGAGGAAATTTAGGGAAGGTGGTATCCAGATATGCAATTTATAAATAATAATCTAAAATCAATTTTCTTGTTTAGAGAGGAAAAAACGTGTCCTTTAATTGTGCCTCTCCAAATCAGTTATATTTTGAAAAATTTAAAAATTTCTGAATTTTTGAATTCTGAAAAAAATAACGTGTACTTTACATTCTTTTTTTAGATAAATTTGAAACTCCAACAAAGTTGGAGAATTGTCCAAAAATTTACATGTGTCAATTTAATGTTATTCCACTTGTCATCATAATATTTCTTTGTCTCTCCTATCTATACTATATTAAAGCACGAAGGCCCTTAGCGAAATGTCGTTCGCTTTTTTCACCCTTTTAAAATAAAATTCACACTAGACAAAATAGTCATTTGATTATTCTTCTACCTAATATTTAGGAGTTTGAGATTAAATAATATCTATTACTTATTAATTTCCTTATTTGAATTAAGCATGAGCTCCTTATATTTAGGACTTCAAAATTATTGAAGTTTTATTTTATATGAATTTTAAAAATAAAGTATAATTAAATAACATCAAATATTTATATGTTTTACCTTATATATGAATTTTATTCAATTAAACGTTTTTAGCTCAAACGAAATGTCTGATCATACTAATTTTAGGCGAACAATTATAATATAAACAAATCAATAATTATCCTATAAACACTATGAGTATTCTATGTGATATTGGTTCATTAGCTATTAATTTTATTCTTCGAACAATAATTAACTTAGATATAAATATTATTATAGATTTTAAAACTTAATTAGAAAAAATAATTACGAAAATATTTAATAAAGTAAGAGAAGGAGAGAGAGAAAAGTGATTGACAAAATTTATTTACTAACGCTACGACAAACCTAAAGTGCAAAGTTCAATTTTTTTATCATTTGACAAAAATAAAAAAATTCGGATAAATATATAGTTATAATTAAATATTTATTTTATGCCTATGAGCTAATATTAATAATTTAAATCCTCAAAAAAAACAAATTATTTCTATTAGTGATTAAAAAAGATAATTAAGTATTTGAATTGACTTTTTTTCTCCGACTTTGAATTAACTAACTAGAAAGATAATCTAATTTTACTCCTTCTAAATTCATCATATAGGTAAAATTAGAAATAAAAGACATTTGAATATAAAATAAAATCAATTGTAGTACTAAGAATTAAATCAATTAAATACAAACTTTAAGAAATAAGGATAAAACAGTAGAAGCCAAAATGTATTCATAAAGAGATGTCATGTGAGATAGACTTTAACATATTTATAGATCATATTAAAGATAGGTATAATTACAAAATAAGGTGCAACTAATTTAACTAAATTCATCATATATGCATATTAAGAAGATATTTNATACATACATATATATATATATATATATATATATATATATATATATATATATATTTTAATTGATAGACACTATACGCACGTGCAACACACGTATATTGAAACTAGTACTATATTAAAATTACGAAGCCCCTTAGCAACATGTCGTTCGCGCTTTTTACCCTTTAAAAATATATTTTAAGGACAATTTTTTTTGGTAACTAAAGATTTTATTAATTACCAGAATGTTTACAATAAGGAACCATAGCTAGACTACATCACAGTCTGCTATCTAGTCTAAGAACACAAAGAACTACTTAACTACTAAAGCTAAACTAAATACTAAGCTGTTGAACCAGTTTTTTAATTCTAGTAGATGCTCGGATATTACAAACATATGCAATCTCCCTAACCAATTGACTATGATTCTTTGCTATTTTTTCAAATCTTCTCTGATTTCTCTCAATCCACATTGTATGCACCCATTCAGTATAAGCCAACTTAAAGATTTGAGCTCTTTGTGATTTACCCTTTGATGCTTTAATGATTCATTTCTCCATTAGTTCCCATTGTGATGTCCTGAAGAGAGGAACCTGCATCCATTTCAACACTCCTTCCCAGACTTTGTTAGAGAAAGGACACTCCATGAATCCATGATTTCTTGTTTCATTGTGACTGTTACATAGATTGCATATAGGATCAACATTTATTCCCCATGAGGCAAGTCTATCAACAGTCATTAGTTTCCCATGCATCTGCAGCCACACTGTGAATTGAGCTTTTGGTCTAGCATCATTTCCTAATCTCAATGTCTTCCAAGTTATTCTCTCATTATCACCAATAAGCTTAAGGTAAATCTGCTTGATTAGACTGCCTGTTTTGATATCTTGAATCAGTGCCATTATGTCTCTTGCTTCAAATATTTTCCTCACCATCCATCATGCCTGTTGACGGATAGGCATTTGACTGAATTGCTGGTTCTTGATGTAGTAGGCATGTAACCACCAGATCCACAATCTATCTGCCTTATGCTCAATATCCCAATTTGCCTTAGCTATTGCAGCTTTGTTCCATAGTCTTATATTTAGCAAGCCTAGGCCACCCATTGACTTTGGAGTGAAAACCTTATCCTAAGCAATTAGAGCTTTCCTTGTGATTGTTTTTGTGCCAGACCATAAGTAGCTTCGACAATAGGCCACAGTTGTACTTTTGAAGGAATAGCAAATAGTTGAGACCAATATGCTTGAATAGCAAAGAGGACTGTTTGGATTAACTGAGATATCCCTACATGTGAGAGTATCTTTGCAGTCCAAGATGAGATTCTGGCTACCATTTTGTTGATCAATGGTTGCCACTGAAGTAAAGAGATATTTTTAGTGGACAGGGGGATTCCTAGATATTTGAAGGGGAGCTCTCCTTTTGGAAATCGTAACAGATGTAGGATTTGATCTTGAATGATTTGAGTGACTCCTCCAAAATAAATGGAGCTCTTCTCTTTGTTCGCTTGAAGTCCAGAAGCATAAGAGTAGTCCAAAAAACTTCTATTCAGTATGGAAATAGACTCAACATCTCCTCTAGAGAATAACACTAGATCATTTGCAAATGATAAATGAGTCACTGCTAGTTTAGAGCACTTTAGGTGATACTTGAACTCTTTATTTCCTTTCAACTCATTGAGCTTTCTACTTAAATATTTCATGGCTAAGGCAAAGAGAAATGGTGAAATTGGGTCTCCCTGTCTTAGCCCTTTAGCTGCATCAAACGGAGCTATGGGTTCTCCATTAAACAATATAGAATAGTTGATTGTCATCAGACATTCTAAGGTCCACATGGTGAATTGTCTAGGAAAGCCAAGCTCATCTAGGACCTTCTCCAGAAATATCCATTCCACTGAGTCATAGGCCTTTTGAAGGTCTATTTTTATCATGCATCTAGAGGAAATATTCTTCCTTGTATAGGATTTCACCAGTTCTTGAGCAAGAAAGATGTTATCTGATATCTTCCTGCCTGGAATAAATCCAGCATGTGCTTCACATACTACTGATGCAATAACTTTCTGGAGTCTTGAGGCAAGAACTTTAGAAATGAATTTGTACAGAACAGTACAACAAGCAATTGGTATGTACTCTTTCACTGTCACAGGATGATCAGTTATAGGGATCAAGGTGAGAGAAGTATAGTTAATAGCTCTATTCATCTTGCCACACTCAAAGAATCTTCTTAATGCCCTTATAATCTCTATCCCCAGTATACTCCATGCCTTTTTAAAGAAATAGGCATTATACCCATCCACCCCTGGAGATTTATCATTTCCAATTGAACTCAGTCCATCAGCTCTTTCTTGGTCAGTAACTGGAGCACACAAGAGGATTTGTTGTTCATGACTTAGCTTGGGTCCCTTGTTCATTGTAACTTTGTTGACTCCCTTTAGTGAGAGACTAGAGGTGCCCATTAACCCTTTGCAGAATGATACAATTTCATCTTTGAGCTCCTTAGGATCAATCAACAGCTTAGCACTTGACAGGGAATTGAGTTGCATGATTTGCTTCCTTTGGCTTCTTTCATTCATGACTGCAGCAAAATACTTGGAATTTGAATCCCCCAATTGTATCCATTGGGCTCTAGACTTTTGCCTTAGAATACTCTCCTCAAGGAGGTTCCATTTTTCAAGATTCATCAAAGCTTTTTTCTCTTTAATCACAAGACTGTCATCATATCTGGCTACTATTGCAGCTTGAATACATTATAGTTCTTCTCTTGGCTTCTCAATCTTCAATGATGTGGCTTTAAACTCTTTTTGATTCAGCTGTTTGAAGACTGGTCTCAGTGCCTTTAGTTTGTTCCATACATTCTGCATAGGATCTCTATCAAACTGCTTCTTCCAGTGGACTTCAATTAGCTCCAAGAATTGTGCATGCTCACTCCATATGTTGAAGAATCTGAATGGAGCTCTGATGCTATGGTTCACACTCTGCAATGTCAATAGCATTGGGGCATGGTTTGAAATGTTAGGGAGGTCATATTCCAAGACAATATGGCCCCACAGCATCATCCACTCATAGTTACCAAATGCTCTATCAATTTTGCTACTAACCCTCTCTGATCCTTGTTTCTTGTTTGACCATGTGAAATATTCACCTTTCCATTGTAATTCATTTAGTAGAGTGGCATTAATACAGTCTGAAAAATCCTTCACTTCACTGAAACTCACAGGATGACAGCTCATTCTATCAGCAGTCGACAATATTGCATTAAAGTCCCCACACACTAGCCATGGGCAGTTAGTATTACATGAGATCTTTTGAAGAGTGTTCCATAGAGATCTTCTTTCCTCCACAGTATTGAATCCATAGACAATAGTCAGAACACATTGAAAGTTAGAAGAGAGATCTCTAACTTCACATTGTACTAATTGAGCTTCCAATTTCAGTACAGTTATATTGTAATCTCCTTGATCCCACATCAGCCATATTCTTCCATTGACAACGGAGGAGTAGTAATTAATAATATCCCAATTGGGAGCAATAGTCATAGCTATTTTAGGACATCTATGTTGCTTAACTCTGGTTTCCAGCAACCCCAGCAATTTGATATTCTTTGACCTTATATATTTCTTTAACTCTCTCTGTTTATACACTTTATTTACACCTCTACTGTTCCATATAATCCAAGTCATTGAGAAGTTGTATTACCTCCCAAATCAGGAGGTTTTGCTTGTCTGGTTCCCTAGTCCTCTCTTGCAAAGGCATTACTTTCCCAGTCTTAGATTTGCTAGCCATAGCAGCACTCAACTGTGGAAAGTTGATCAAGTTCAATTCCAGTCTTGGCACTTGCTCCTTGCCTTTAGAGGCATTCCTCACTGTTCCATCTGAAGTTGCTACTTGATTTTGTGAATCAGCTTCTTGTTGTTGTTGTTTGCTTTCATTAATAGGTACTCTAGGCTGGGCTACCTCAGATGATCCAGCTGCTGTTTGTCCACATTTTGGCTAGTTAATAGTGTACCTATTTAGGCTTTCATTCCTGAACCACCTTCTTTTGTCCACCTCTTCTCTTGTTCTGTATTTGTCTTTCCATCAAGTGTTGTTCAGGTATCTTATTAGAGCAGATATGTCCTATAGTTAAGCATTGAGGACAGAATTGGAGCTTCCAACCAAATACCACCTCCTACTGATATTATTGTCCATTTGGCTCCATAACCGTAATTGTGTCAGGCAGTGGTTTAGACACATTCACTTCAATTAGCATTCTGGCATATGAGAACTTGTTTGCTTAGTTGTACACTCGTCCGCAAACAAAGGTTTCCCTAACGCGCTAGCAATTCTTCCCAAGGAACCACATCCCCAGCAACTCATAGGTAATTTGGGGAACTTAACCCACAGTGGTATCTCAGTCATAAACTCTTGGCTAAAATCAAAAGCAGGAATCCATGGTTTTAGAATAATTGGTCGATTTCGAATAGTATAAGGGCGAGAGAATAGAATCTCATTCATATCTTTAACATCATGAAATCGAGCCATATAATAACCTTCCTCATGAAGAAACAGATCCGGTGTAACTATGGTATTCCACATCTGGGATATGTACCTATGCATGAGGGAGTACCCTGGTGTTTCTCCCATCACATAGACAATAAGGGTATTCTTCCACTTTTCCGCTTCCTTCTCTACTTTAATTTTTTCTAGTTGTACTATAGTTTCTCCATTAACAATCTAAGGGGGGAAATAGGTTAAGGCCATACCATTTTCCGCAGCTCTATTTCCAGCAAACAATGAGTTCCACTTAGGTATATTCACAACTGCCTCTTGCTCTGTAGGAATCTCCTTATTTGCCTCTTTAATTTCAGGGTTGCTCTGTGTTGGAACTTTATCACCCTGTGTTTGAGTAGGTGAAATTAGCCACCGGAGCCTCAGCTATCTTCAGTTGCGGTCCACCCTTTGCCTGAGATCTCACTTGAAGTGGTGTTTTGTCCTCTTCCACCGGCTCTACTACCTGCCGCTTCTCAGCTGTTGAGCTTGATGAAGGTTCCGATGCGGGTAACTGTTCCATTGGAATTTTGGTAGATGATTGTTTGGATGTTGAAGCATTCACTTTGGATTGAACATGCACTGCACTCCCAAAAGCAATTTGTATCTCTTTCTTAGGTCTTCCTCTTCCCCGACCTCGTCCCCTTCCCATGGACCTCCAGGGCGCGCATTAGACTAACCAGCGCCTAGAGAGAAGCAGGAGCGAAGAGACAGAAACTTTATATTTAAGGACAATTTTGTTCATCTAAATCTTCCTTATTTCGCTAAGGAGTTTCATGCTTTTAATATAGTATAGATATAGATTTAGGGACTTCAAAATCAAATAAATTTTATTTATCTAAATCTTCCTTATTTAAACTATGCATAAAGTCTTAATATTTAGGACTTCAAGTGGACTAAGATTTTACATTAATATTAATATTTAGGACTTCAAGTGGATTAAGATTTTACATTAATATTCATTTAACAGGCAAAGGAGTAATACTATCCATAAAGGAATTAAATCTCCACATACACGAGTTATACACACAAAAAAGGAATAAAAATATATTTCTTGCCACAACCTTTAGGGTTATCAGATAAAAATTACCTCAATATTCATAATTATTATTCTCTATCAAAATAAAATTCTAAAAGTACTTCCAAAATGATAATAATAGTTAGTGACGATCATCATTGGATTTCTTCTCAAAATGCTCTCGGTGCACGTTAGTTAAACGTACGCTGAGCTTGTAGCCATGGCGAGAGGAAGAGGCAGAGGTAGAGGACGACCTCGTAAACACCCGTTAGCAGCATTAGAGAATCTACTAGCAACAGTTAAGCAACCAGTAATGGAGAAAATAGCTCCATTAACCACTCCACCAGCGACAGTTCAGAGCATAGATCCATCTACCGGAGGAACTGCATGTTCAATTGGCTCAACATCGCACCAATATAATGTCTCTAAGAAGCTGGATCTGGCATCTCCAGCTCCGATTGGAGCAGTACCAGATCCGGTGAAAGTTTCAACCAGTGGAACAGTTACCATGCAAAATCCAGTGCAGAACCAAGTTAACTCAGCAGAAGAACCAGTGGAACCAGTGGCAACAAGCAAAAAAGCAGAAGAATCTAAACATTCGTGGGCAACACTCTTCCAGAAGAACAGATGTGCTACAAATGGTATGTCACTAGATTACATTCCACCGCTAATTGTAGATGGGCAGCCTATAGTTCAATTAGACAAATTAGAGGTAGAAGAGGAAGAGAACAAGTGGAAATGTGCGTTGATTGCTTACATTTTAGGAGAAGGGCCAGGGTATAATGCGATGAAGAGATACATCAACTTGCATTGGTCACATATACCAGAACCAGATCTATTCTATCATGATGAAGGTTATTACATAATCAGATTCAAAACTATGGAAGATGCTCACGAAATTCTTTGTGTTGGACCTTATTCCATAGCTAATAGACCTATAATTCTGAAGCCATGGACCCCTGATTTTGATTTCACTAAGGAATTTCCTACTGTTATTCCACTATGGGTTAAGTTTCCCAAGCTCCCTATGTCTTGTTGGGGAATGAGATCATTGAGCAGGATAGCCAGTGTGTTTGGGAGGCCTATTTTTGCTGATGAGTGCACAACCAAACAAACTAGAGTTTCCTATGCTCGGATGCTTATTGAGATTAATGTCACCAAAGAGCTGCCAAGTGAAGTATGGGTGATGGACCCAAATGGGAAGAAATTCTTGCAAGATGTTACTTACGATTGGAAACTTGCTTTTTGTGAGAAATGTCAAGTAGTAGGACACAGGTGCTCAATCCAAGTGACACCTGTTACACAACAACCCAACCAAGTGAAGAAAACTAAAATTACACAGGAATGGAGAACCAAGGCCCAGTACCTGCAGAACTTATTCAAAGAGAAGCAACCTCACCTGCATCACAGCATGTTACTGTTAATAAGCTAACTGATGTTCAGAGTCCTAAGGAAAGCTATGATCTACCAAGTCTGGTTCCAAATGTTGAAAAGCAGGAAGACAAAGGGAAAAAAGTCCAAAGTCCAGAATTGAACCTCATTAACTTTCCTCCCTTGTCACCCATTCCTGTGAGTAATAGATTTGAAGCAGTGTCCAATGGCAAATATGAAGTGCCACCTAGGGATAGGGGTGGACCAAGTAGTCAACAATGAAGTGGTTGTTCTGGAATATTATAAGTGTAAATAAAAGGTATAAACAGAAGGAAGTTAGGGAGTATATTAGAAGCAATAAAATAAAGCTAGTAGGATTAGTAGAAACTAAGGTTTAAGAGGATAATGCTCAAAGAATTTCTAATTTTCTTGTTCTTAGATGGGGCATGCTAGCTAATTATAATGAAGCTAGAAATGGTAGGATATGGATACTATGGGATGCTAATATTCTTACTGTTACTGGACTTAATGATGATCCTCAAATGATTCATTGTCTAGTTAGAAGTATAAGGGGGGATATAGAATGTTATATCATTGTTGTTTATGGTTTCAATGGGATAGAGCAAAGAAGATCACTATGGGAAAATTTGCAACAATTTTCAACAGGTATCACAGATTCATGGTTAGTTGCAGGGGATTTTAATGCAATATTATATCCCAATGACAGACTATCTTGTAATCCTGTTAGTTATTCAGAGATTCAAGAATTTGGTTACTGTATTCAGCAAGCAGAGCTATCAAAACTGCCTTGGAAGGGAGATTACTATACTTGGACAAATAAACAACCTGGAGCTGACAGAGTATGTAGCAGATTAGACAGAGTTTTTGGCAACTATGAGTGGATGATGACTTGGAGCCATGTGGAGACAATTTATGATCTACCTCAAATCTCTGATCAAATCCTATGATATTGACTCTAGCAGATTCTTCTTCGAAAGGAAGGGTTCCTTTTAGATTCTTTAATGTATGGGTTGATCATGATGATTTTCATCAGATTGTGGCATCTATCTGGAACTCTTCAAATAATTATGGTGCTCTGAAAGCAATATGGACTATGCTTAAAGCATTGAAAACCCCTCTAAAGGCTTTGAATGCTAAGGATTTCAAGGGCATTACTCAGAGGATTGAAAAAGCTAGATTGGATCTGAAAGAAGTTCAAGAGCAACTTGAAAATACCTATTATGATGGCTTACTACATAAGGAAAAAGAGACATTACTCAACCTAGAAAGGTGGTCTTTAATTGAAGAAAGTGTGTTGCAGCAGAAAGCAAGAGAAAAATGGATTCAACTTGGAGATTCCAACACCAAGTATTTCACTGCAGTTATGAAAGAAAGATCACAAAGAAAACAGATCACAGAAATTACAAATGGCCTAGGTGATAGAGTAACTGATGCTGCAGGTATAAAAAGGGAGATTCTGGGATTCTACAAGGCACTTATGGGCTCAGCAGCTAAATCCCTTCCTGCTATAAATAGATTATATATGGCTAATGGTCCCACTCTATCCCAGCAACAAAAATTGGATCTATGTGGAGAAGTAACTTATCAAGAAATTTTGGA